TACCGAGGCATTATCACCGGTGAGACCAAAGCATTCAACTCAGCACGCACTGGGGGACCACTTGCCGATGACGATGAAATGGTGAAAAGCCCACTTGAAAAGTACACCCACGATGTCCTCAAAGACTATGAGAGGTGGTGCGGTAAGGCGGATACCTTTTCCCCGTTCGTCTACGGTGAACTGTCTGAACGCCCTGGCGTGAAAGACCAAATGGTGTCAGGAAAGAGGAATCCTGATTTGGAAACCTACGAGGTCACGTATGTCGTTCGCAGGCCCAACTTCAATGCCTACAGGAATCAGGTGTCGCCCAAAGAGATGCTGCCCAACTACAACCGCCCACGGTTTGATTGGCGCAAGATCCACCCCGATGCCGAGGGGTATGGCAACGCCGGATGGATGGTCGTTGAGGGCATTCAGATGCCAGAAGATCAGTGCCCAACATGCACACGCACCTACACCCATGGCATGATGTCCTGCATCACTTGTGGCGCCTTCCTCAACAATGCCTCAGATCTCTGTAAAGCTGCTCAGCTCATTCGGATCGAGGAAATTGCGTCCGATCTCGGTATCGAAGTCTCGATGGACATGGTACCTGAGGACAGGCTGCAAGGAACAGGTGTGAGGAAGACGCCGGCGGGGACGCCTGGCCATGAAGTTCAACGTGCTTCTCGTTCGGGTATCAACATCCTGAAAGCGAACGCCAAAAGCCATGTCCAGAAGGCGGAGAAAATGTCCATGACAGTGTCACAGCGACAGCTGGTTGACGCTTTCTACGCGTTCAACTGTGCGGCCCAGGACCTCTCTCCAATCTGCGTTCAATTTCTGGAACGATTGTCAGATGCCGTAATCCCTGACCCTCCGAGGACAAGGGAAATGATTGCTCGAGGCATCGGTCATCGCTATGCTGGGAAAGTCATCTTTATGAACGAACCGGCAAAAGGGAATGATGCTGACTTGAGTGAGGATTTCTTCATTTATTGGAAGAACAGGCTGCACCGCCCTGAGACTTTCGCTGCTGACTATTGCCAAGGTGCAAAACGACCCGCAATTTTGGGATTTGGAGGTGAATGGCGAAGTGAGAAGACGGACCCTGATGATGTTTTGGACGAACTTTTGGAATTCGTGATGGGCGATGCTCAATTTGTCCCTGGCATGGATATCAATCTTGTGAAAGAAACAAGGGCACTTGTGATTCCCAAGGCCAAGGCCGCGCCAGGTGCAGGTGAAAGTCTGGCAAGAGCCACATGGACTCAAGCCGAAACCTCAGAGCATCGATGGCGAGGAGCTGCCGGAAGTGATCAATACCATGATTGGCAGCAGTCGTCCTCATCATCTTCCTGGTGGTCCTCATCAAACCGCAACTGGTGGCAGGATGATCGCGGTCGTGGCAGTGACTGGCGAGGACAAGACTGGTGGAGTCAGCGCAGGTGGTGAACACGACGCACAGCGGGAGCTGTTGCCTGTGGATAAGAGAATGAAATCTACGGGTGACTTGGCTGTCGTAATGCACTGTGTTTTTCCCTCATCGCACCGCGGGAGCGGTTGCCTGGATGACCGTTTCTGTGATGCACCGGGGGACCGGATGCCTGATGCCAGCAGCTAATTCATTTTGAGTTCAGGTCGATGAACTTGGCTCTCAATCCTTGCAGCCTGAAGCGCACATCTTTTGTTGTGCTTTGTCGCCACGCGGGAGCGTGTGCCTTGATGGCTTTGTTCCTACTTTCTAAAAGGTTGGCGTTGCACTTCTCGTTCCGCTGCGCCAAAAGAGTTATCTTTGACAGCGTGCGTTGAGCTTTCACGCATGAATCAATTTGAGACATGTTCAACACTAGCATCAAACATTACAGTGCTTTATATGATCCGTCCTTGAGGTCAACTATCCTCTCCATCTCAAGGCACGTACCGGTTCGATGCGTCGCACGTACCGGGGGACCGGATACCTTCGTAGGTCCTTAATTAATGCACTGTACATAACTTCACTCCTCCCATTTTCGTTCAGCGGGGGGTGTCGTTTCACGCTAGCATGTCTAATACATGTCTCACTTACCTACCGTTTGGCTCAAGGAAAACCAGGTGCGACTTGTTGGTAGTTCTCGGTCGTTTACCTGTAACTACAGGTTTGATGCTTGTCCAGAGGATCCCAGAGCCCCGGAGCGGGCGCCCGCTCGAGGTATCATGGCCGACTTGAGATGGTCCAAGAGCTTTTGGCCGCGGGTGCCTCCAAGGAGCCAAAATGGCTGAGAAACTGGTATAGTGTTTATCACAGTTTATGACTGTCTATTTGTGATGGACTCACTGGTTCTTGGGTTGGTCTGCCCGGTCAGCATGCAGGAGAAACCAATGAAAAATGGTGCCACTCCAGTGCATTTGGCTGCCCAGAGCGGCCATGTGAAAGTTGTGAGGTGGGCGGCCCCCCATGTCCTTTGAAGCGTTTCGAAAGGCTTGACGTCAGCTTTTGTATCATTTATTGATGGTCTACAATTCTCAAACTGGTGTTGTGGTGCCTGGCTGGCAGGTGCCTCCTGGAAGCCAAAGCTTCCAGCAACCCCCGGGCGGAGGAGAGGGGAAACGGGTGGAACAGAGACTTTGTAGAGAAGTGAATCACTAGTCATTTGTTTAAGGTAGAGCACCGTTAGATCAGGACGGCCGGCGGCCCTTGCATATCGCAGCACAGAAGAATCACCTGGAGGCCGTGTTTGATGGACAGGATTGCGCCCGATGGACGGAATTGAAGGAGCGTTCTGGATGGAGTGAAGAGGCAAATTGCCAGCTTTGGAATCTTTTAGGGTTAGGGGTGTTTCACATGTCGGCAATGGGGGTCTGGAAATCAAGATCTTCGAGTATACATGAGTTCAAGGAGACGTTTTTTGGAGCAACTTTGCAGGTGATCCGCTGCTTGCTGCAGCTACAAGCCGATGTCAATGCTCCTGGGCCCCATGGGATGAGTGCTGCCTTCTTGGCATCTCAAAGAGGCCAGTCCAGACACGCACAAGCATGTGACGTCTACAAACCCTAAGTCCCATGGGGGATTCCTCAAACTCCTGCCTTCCCATCTCTGTTGGAGGCAAGTGAGTGAAATACTTCCTAGGCAGGGGGGAAATTGTTGAAGATTGACCAGGTTAAGACATCCTGCCTGAATCTTCTTCTTGTATTGACGGAATCACCGACAAGCACCTCTTCACGTTCTTCTTGAACTAATTTGTCCAGGTCAAAAAGTCCGAAGGACTTTCTGCTGCCTTCCAAAGTGTTTTGAGCAAGTTCCCCAAACTCCTGAAGCAGGCTTCCACCTACTTCACCTACTACGGACTAAGCTTAGTTCTTGAGACTAGGCTTCTCTTTTTCAGACTAGGCTTCCACCAAATCGAGACGTTTTTCTCATCAGCGAGGCTTCCCAGAAATCCTGCTGGAGCTGTGTGAAGCGAAGGCCTCCCCAGAGGCGGTCGACCTCAGTGGTGCCAGGTGCGAGGGCTGCAGTCGAAGGGCTTGAGGGAAGGCCTGCTGTGATTCTCCTGTAGTTTGGCTCCCCCAAAAGCCCTGCTGTGCGTGTCTTTTTTTACTTCTTGGCCTTTGAAAACGCCTGAACACGGGCATTGGCTAGGAAGTTTGGCAACTGGCGGAATTGTGGGTGCAAAAGTGGGTGGGAAAGTGCTGCGATCCCATGCAAACTAAGACTTGGCAACTTGTTTGCCTTTGAACGGCCAGACCCTCCACATTGGCAAGATTTCACCGAGGAGGGTGTTCCAGGAGGGCGTTGCACTTCCCACCTTGACAAGAGCATAGTTGGAGTGCAATTCTTGCCTTGAAACCGTAAATTCGCCCAAAGACTTCCCTTGAGATATGTGTTGGGCTCAACATTGCGCGCACACACACAGAGACACCTGCAGAAACCACACGTTCATGTCCTTCAACCGCCTTTTCTCATGAACTTCGAGTCTGTCCGAGCTTGAAAGCTCCAAGAAATGGGCTGGGCCACTTGGTAGCCTCTAGCTTACATTCTTGACTATTGTTGTCTTCACACAGCAGTATTCGAGGCTTGCTGAGCCAGGCTTTTGGACGTGACCATCCAAGAGGGGCATTTGGAGTTAGTCAAGCTCCTGGTTGCCTGTGGTGCTGAATTGACGGCCAGCAACCGCTTGGGAAGGACGGATGAAATGATCCAGAGGAAGTTATGAAGCGAAGTCTCCGTTGCATGGTTGGGCATAAGTGCCAACTCTTTGGACACAAAGTCTCAAGTTTTGCCGCACTCCTTTTCTCCTTCTGCTCCTTGTGCGACACCTTGCAGCGTTGTGAGGACACCTTTGCATGTGGCAGCTTTTGCGGGTGAGTTGGAGATTGTCAAATGGCTTATTCAAGAAGGCCAGGCCTTGTTTATTTCAGCTTGTGGATTGAGTTTGGCAAGATTTGTGTCCTGTAGTCAAGTAGGACTCTGAACCCTTTGGGCTGCACCAGAGCATGAAAGAGCATGACAGTATATGTACAAAGTATTTATAACCATATTCACAACTAGAAAGTTGACCAACCCTTCATCAAAAGAGGCCTGACCGTGGATGCTCCAGACAATCGCCAACAAACGGCCCTGCACCTAGCCGCACATTATGGCTACGAGGCGCCCTTGGGGGCAGCAACAAACGGGGCTCTTCCCGGTTCAAGAGTGAGATAGGGTTTAGATGCCACTTTCCAGACTGTGTGGCTACTGAACTAACCTAAGATCCTGGTGGTTTTTCACTTCCTGCTTAGCAAAGCGAAGGACGTTCGCATTCTCGATCTAGCCCCTAGGATCCTGCAATGCTGACCTCTTCATGTCTGTTGAGTCCCGGCAAGTTTTTGATACACTCTGACTCTAACCATTATCCTATTGAAGCCAGTGGAAATTAACTCTTCGTCCCTGTAAGATGGTTGTGTCCAACATACAGCCCAAAGTCATTCGACAAGCACTCAAGCTATTCCTTCCATATGTATCTATTTGAACACTTTGATTGTGCATGTGTGGACGATCTCGCAGTCTCTCAATCTTCAAAAACCCAGCCTCACTAGCCACTAGCCATGGCGTATCCGGATGATCACAAGATTTCTGACCTCGTGGCGAAGCTCCCACCAGGCAGGCGATTTGCCTTCGGTGGGCTAGCTGGTGAAGGCTTCTCACACTACCTATCAAAGGAATGTGTTGTGCTTTTCAAGTGTTGTGCTTTTCTATATTGGAGTTCCGTCGCTCCGGTTTGGTCGTGCAATGAGCGAGGGTGGTTCTCCTTCGAGTACTTTCCGCCCAAGACAGCGGAGGGTGTGGAGAACTTGAGGAAGCGCATTGTGAAGATGAAGGAGGGCAGGGTGGGCAGGTTCGTGCTGAACCCGACGACCGCACCCCCATGCGGGACAAGTCAAAGACCAACAGTTGGAGAATGATGCAACACGGGCAAGAGTCAGGCCTTTGGCACTAGCGAAAGGACTACGTACCACCAAATGACACCAAACACATTTTTTGGATGTCATCGTCAGTTGGCTTGAACACTCATCAGTTAGCACCTGGTTCACGTGTTCCTGGACTTGCTAGATGTTTTTTGACTTCTGTGTGCCACACCGATTGGGCATCTCGTCGGTGACGTGTTGTCAAGCTGGTAGAGGCGCTGAAGCCACTCTTCACTGACTTCACCTGGGGCGCAGGGGGTTCCACCTCCGAGCTCACCTTGAAGCTGACCAGCGCGGCCAAGAATGAGCCCTTGGACCGGGAGTGACCAAAAAGGTTTTTCACGATTTCTTTTGTTGCCCCAAAAAGAAAGGAGCTATGCAAGGGTTATTTGGGCAGAGACGAACAAGAGCTCACTTTTGAATCTATTGAGAGGGTCGAGTCGTTGAGTGCATTCGGTATCATGTCTGCATGTTCCCCGCAATCAATCCCTGTGCTCAGTGTGGTACTGGTTACAAATATATTTAACTTTCCCGCCCTCATGCGTGGGGAGCTTCCTTGAAGATGCATGAGTTATCCTGGGTCCTAGGTAGTAGAAAACTAGTAGCTACTAGCTACCTCTCCCCTCAATAATTAAGTAGTAGGCGCCTACTTAACTAAGTAGGGAGGGGGGTAGCGGGCTGAAAACAAAAAGGCAACTAGTTACTACAGTAGCAGGTTTGGCTCTTCAGCCTTTTTTAAGGTGTCAAGCCTCCTCGAGACAAGCAACATTTTTCCAGTCCCGAAAGAGGGCCTGTATGCATACGCTTGCCAGGTTTTGCCAGCAAGACAGGACAGTATTTGCCTTCACCAACCTGAATAAACCGCCAGCCTGGCTGGTGCAGTTTGGGTGGAAGCTTTTGTTTCCGAATTGGCCAGTTCTATTGTGAAGGTTTGTTGAGGTCTTCCGGCTACTTGACTGTATGCCCGCGTGACATTAAAGATGGAATTTCTCTGAGGCCAGGGCTGCCGCAGACTGTCCGTCAGTCCAAGTCGGTCTTCGACCAAGGTTTGGCTGTGTTGCCAACATGCACTTGACCTGCACCAATCAGAGCTCTGAGCACCTTGATTTGCAGAAAGCCAGGGTTGCCACGGCATTTTCAATCCTTTTTTGCTGCGGCATAAGTGCTACTCAAAGAAATGCCCTTAGTTCACGAGAGGATGAGACCTAAAGTGACCGGCTCGAATGGTGAGGATGACCGAGAACGCGCTGAAGGAGTGCAAGCAGTGCCTTGGCCTGATTCGTGTCGATGACAGAACTGGTGTTAGTTCCAACTTGGTACCAAGAGCCAGTCGGGTGGAGGGAGCGTTGGTCAGACACAAGGTAAGTTCTTGACATTGTGTCCAGCATGCGGCGGTGTTACCCGGGATGTTTGTATCAGTTTCATGGGATTTCACGGGCAGTTCTCTTGAATGTAATGTTGTTTTTGTTGGCACAAACATTTTACATGTGCATCTCTCTCATATGGGACATGGACATTATGCAAAAGATGACAATTGTACAACCAGAAACAGCTTCGCTGAACTAGTCCAGGAGCAACATTTCAGAGTCAATCATAGTAGCTAGCCGCAAAACCATCATTCAAAGCAATCGCTCGGTCACCGAGAGCGAATGTGTGTCCGAGTAAGAACTGCTTACATTATTCGCATGGTTCATCCCGATTCGACATCAATGCCCACTTTCCTGTTTCAAGTCTACGGGCCTGGCACAGCCACCCCGTGCCCCGTTGCTGCCCCGTGCTCCTCCTCCGGAGTCCTTCCGGAGGCCATAGCTACTAGGGTGGAGGCCATCTTTATTGGAAAATTCGTTTCATTTTTGTTTCCTTTTTTGTGATATTCTTTAAATTCAGGTGGACACCCCTGCTCCGGAGTCCTTCCGTAGATGAAGATCCTCTTGAGGCTCGGAGTTCGGAACATCGTGGCCCTGCGCGGCGATCCTCCTCGAGGCCGTGGGGTGAAAGGAACGGCTGGACCGTTGGGATGGCAGGCGCTGGGACCTGCGTGAGCGTCGCTGGTGGCGAGGTCAAGAGAAGTGGACTGCAACAGAGGGTGGCTTCAGCAGCGCTTTGGATTTGGTGAAGTGTCTGAGCAAAATTGATTGGCCGAGATGGGTGGCGTTGATGTTGATGTGGAGCTTATCAGATCAACATGAGACGCGCCGTGGGACCTTGATGCAGGTGGGACCTTGACGCAACAGATCAAGGAAACACATTTTGTGTCGTTTTGGGTCTTCAAAGGACTTGTCTGTGACTCATAGGTTCAAGAGGTCTCTGCTGGCTACGCTCAAGCCAACCTAAACCAAGCAGGATGGGCAGCTAAAATCTTCTCTCCAAGGTTCATTCGGCAGAACCATGGGGACTACTTCTGCTGCTCTGTGGCTGGATACCCGGAAGGCTCAAAGGGTTGGTTCACAAAGCTTGCAAGCCTAGCTAGCTCTGGTGTGCAGCAAATGGGCGGAATGGATTGTGAAATGATCCAATGGTCAGCTAGCTCTGGTGTGCAGCAAATGGGCGGAATGGATTGTGAAATGATCCAATGGTCAGCTAGCTCTGGTGTGCAGCAAATGGGCGGAATGGATTGTGAAATGATCCAATGGTCAGCCCGAGCCGGAATTCGTGCCGATGGACGTCGGCCGTGACTCGTGACGCGCGTCAGGCCACCCCGACAACATCGAGGACGTCCCGAGCGTTGCCAGCTTGACGCCCTCGGAGCAGCGCCGCTGTCGGGTGGCGCCCGATGGAAAGGTCACCGCCCGGGTGCACAGTGTCGGTCGACAGGGCTTGTACAGTTCTGGGTTTTCGTGTTTGCCAAAGTTACTTTGTAGGTAAACCGCGATGGCAGCTCCGAAGTCCATGGAAATTGAGATCAGAAGGTATGAGTTTCAGTTGGAGCTAGCATGCCCAGGTTTGCCGCGACGCCAACTTTCACAAGGACCAAAACAAGTCTTTGCTGCCGACAGACTCGTTAGTACGGAGAGTGCTCCGCTAAATACTATATAAGCCCCTTGAAGCATACCATCAAAGCTGAGGTTCCTGAGTTGCCACTCGCAAAAGCCAGGTTACAGCTCTACAGCTTAATCTAAACCTGGCAAATAGAAAGGATGTACTCATGGGCAGTGAAGAAGCATCGCGTTCACAGAGGATTCCACCTTGGATTGTCAGGAGATGGTGTATCTCAAGGAGAAGGTGGATGCTGGTGCCGCCTTTGTGATCACTCAGATGTTCCTCGATGCCCAGGTCTTCTTGGACTTTGTTCAGGAGGGGCCTTCCTTGGAACCGCCATTCAGCTCGCCCCAGGAAGCGGCGAGAGGTTGAGAAACAGAGAAAGACAGTGAACGACTTGTTCGCAATACAGAAAATAAGTCAGAGACAAGAAGCTACTAGGGGCTCCTGGCATCGCTACTAGGAGCAAGGACGCTACAAGAGATCAAGAGATCAAGAAGAGCACCACCCCGAAGGCCACACGTGCTTCCAGGGCAACATCACTCTCAGAATGTCACAGTAGGACGTAGCAGGAACAGCAAAGAAGAAGATCAATAACAAGGACTTTTTGCAGGAACAGGACAACCAGAAGGAATTCCCTGCGGCCTCCCCAACCTCGTGCATGACGGTTTGTGCGGTCAAACAACAATGTGACTGGTAGCATCCGGCATCAATTCATTCTGCAGAGACACCATCACAGGTTGATCAGGTTCTGATCACATTACTTGGATCTTCCCTTCCATCAGGAGTGCCGGAAGTATGAGATCCACGTTCCAATCGTACCGGGCATCATGTGCCTGAATGGCCTAGGCTTGAGGGAAGAAGTTGGGGTGTTGTGCATGTTCCATTGCGAAAGTTGATATCTACTTGTGACACCTTTGCGACACACGGTGTTTCTGCGATTTTAAGGCTCAGTTTTCAGACTCGATCAAACCAGCTAGAATACAGTGCCATGGGTTGCGGTGCTAGCTCGAATCCCGGAGCTTTGCACGTGGGCACGAAATGCTGCGCAGGTGCCATTCAGTAGCCCATTTCGTGGTCAGATGTAGAGGTCCAGAGGCAATGACCACTACGATATTTGTCGTGGTTGAAACATGTTAGAAGATTTGAGGGCGTATGGTTGGGGCCGGTCCAAGCCTAGGTGACTGCTCTCTATCCGCTCTGAAACTGGGCTCTTTCAGCCGGCTATGAATCATCAGCCAAAGAAGAGGTCAAGTGTGCCACTCACGATTGGGAGAACAAAAAAACGGTTTCAATGGATTACAGAGTCAAGGGTCTCTCGCAGACAACGTTTTTCAGGGTATCGAACAGTTACACGAGGTTCCTGCCCCATCAGATGTCATGGAAGCTCTATGCAGAAGCCATCAAAGCAGTGCAAAAAGTGTTTCCAGGAATCTGGCACTGTTCCAGAAAGACTTACTGCAGTATGAGCAATTCTCGACGATGGTTGGGGAGGAACATGGAATCGAAGACAGAGAGCTTCCTTCATGTGTCTCGAAACAAGGAAACCAGAGCTGAAGAGGCAGATTCAAAGTGCTGAGTGCCTCGGTGTCGAAACTCTCCCTCGTTTCCCGTTGTCAGGAGTTTTCTTTTTTCCTGGTAACTAGAAGCTACGCCCGGTGGAGGCCGTCGCTATTCGGTTGGAGGCCATCGCTACGCACGTCACAAGAAGCAACGAACGTAAAGAAACAATGCTCCTCAATTGGATTCCATCGGATGTGGGTCATATGGGTACTCAAACAGTTTGTGGACGGAGTTCTTTTTCCCGTTTTCCGCCCTAAAGCTGGGACGCTGGAGGTGACTAGGAGTAGAAGCAGCACTTGGTCGATGGATCTTCAATGCCAGTCGTGTTGGATTGTGGAAACCATTGTTTCTCCACAGTTCTATATGAAGGAGGGCAGTTTTGCACCATTGAACACTTCTGCTGTAGCTTTTAGATCGTGCATCTGTTGTTTTGCCTTTGGATGCAGTGAGTTTTCGATCGCTGAGGACAATGATCTCTCAAGATCCAGTGGAGAACTTTCACAGCTTTGCTGCCCCGAGGACGGATGGCTCAGAAGCAGTTGCGTAGGGGTTCAACAAGCAACAAGGGTTCAACTGGGTTCAGCAATCAAATCAACTAAGCCGTTGTCGTTTTTTGCCGTCTTTTTTCATGAGCATTCCTCTCCATCTCAGATCCTTGTGAGAATGAGTAGTGCTCACGATGACCCACTGCTAGATCTTCATCATGCCCTTCATGTGAGGCGAGACCCTCGCTTGTCCGCTTGGAGACTTGGATGCGAGACGATCTGATCTCGGGAAGTTTGTTGAAGATTGACACCAAGAAGGAACGATTGATAGCTCTAAAGGAAAGATTTGTATCAAGCCATCAGGATTGCTCAGGATTGCTCAGGATTGCACTTTTGGCCCAATCACTTTGGCTCATCATGGGTTCCGCCGGGGTGAACCCGGCGTTGACACGGATCAGGCAGCTGGATCAAGTGATCGATGGCACGGATGTGGTCGACCTGACAGCACCATTGATGGAGCACCATGGCCAACTATGGCTCTGATGCAGATGCATCAAGCATGCAGTATGGGCATTTCAAAAGAAGGTATCAGGTCTGCGGGATGTTGCATACCAGATATTTCTACAGATTACTACAGATTATGTTTGCCTGCGTGAGTTACGTATCAGGCTGCTTGGCGAGGTCCGCAGATATATGTTGAAAGCCTTCCCTGGTCTACTGGTTGTCATTCCATGACTTCTGTGATGGTTAATGGTCAACTTTTGATCTTGATCATGGATGGTTGCTTTTTCCAAAATGCTTGGCAGGGTGAAAGGCTTTGGGATTTAAACTCTGTGACAAAAGCAGGACAACGATGGAAGGGTGTTTTGAGGCATCGCCTTTCGTGTGCTTACTGTTTTGAAGCATATGGTGCGGCAGGAACGCTTTGTATATCCTTGACAGACTTCTTCATTTGTGAACTCTCACCGGCACCCACCTTTGATGTAGTTGCCAGATGTGGCTAGCAACCGCACTACTTTTGGGTACGCGATTGACTCCAATGTCCAATAGGTCCAACGGAGCGTGGCCAACTTCTTTTGCGTTCTACAGACATTGCTTCACTGTGCTTGCTGAGAATAGTTCGACCTTTGTATAACCCTAACGGGCCCTACCTTATCCAAAGCCATTTTTTCTTTCTTTCTTTCTTTCACAAGGCAATGAACCGCCGCACAAACTTTCTATTATACTCTTTGTGCCCTTTTTCAAAGCCCTTTCTTTAGGCACCCAGTCTACTCCTTGACAACTTGAACCTCACCCTGTATCAGGGTGGTGTAATTGTGCATTTTTTTGCGATAATCTCCTCTATTCTATTAGCTTCCTCAATACATCCTTCTCCTCCACAAGAAGTCTTTCCCCTTCGTTTACAATGGTCACCTTTATTCGCTTTGTTTCCTCAATATAGACGTCTCCTTTGCAAGTGGTCCCCGCAATGGCTGTCAGTCACCTTTCGTGAACGACACCTCCATGGCTGCGAAACGAAACCTTTTATGGGACATTGAATGAATGATTGAAAGATTTGTTATATAGTTATATACCAGTAGTAAGGCCAGGAGCCCCTAGTAGCGTCCTTGTTCCTTGTAGTAAGGCCAAGGGGCCCCTAGTAGCCTAGTAGCGTCCTTGTTCCTAGTAGTAAGGCCAAGGGGTCCCTAGTTAGTAGCGTCCTTGTTCCTAGTAGTAAGGCCAGGAGCCCCTAGTAGCATCCTTGTTCCTAGTATATAGTAAGGCCAGGAGCCCCTAGCATCCTGTTCCTAGTAGTAAGGCCAGGAGCCCCTAGTAGCGTCGATAGGATTTTGGGGCGGATTCGCTACGGCCGTTTTCGTTGGATTCGTGGGCAGACCAACAAGAGGATGCTACTTGTAACAAGGGCATCGCTACCAGTGACAAAGGGCATTATATACTACTAGTAGCAAATAGCTACTAGTAGTATTTCTCATTTTGGAACCGTTGCCGTTTTCTCTCCCCCTCTTGATTAGTTCATTCGGTAGTTAGCTCCTTGTCGTGAAGGACACCAGAGGTGTACGCAATGACACGGCTGCGAACGACCGAAGGTCGGGCTCAAGAGAATTTTTTACGTGGACACGTCTCAAGATGGACCAAGAAGGTCCTAATGCCATGGCCTTAGAGATGGTTAAGTGGCTGGTGGCTTGGGGCCGCCGGTACGATGCCGAATGGGACGGCATGCATGACATCCTGCAGTGCCTTTGGAACCTCAGTCGGTCCCACTACACCGACAACAGAAGCCACGGAGTGGTTCCGATTGTGCTAGCTGCGGTGACGCTAGCTCGAGATGTGGAGGATGAAGCCCCCATTCCTGGCATGAGGCTGGTGAAATTCATCGGCGAGTTCTACAGCCCGCCGGGCACGGTGCCCAAGCCGCTGTTGGAAGTTTTCGGATCGTGGACAACTCACCAGCTGGAGACATGGCTGGATGGCGCCTCTCGTTGTGTGCCGGTCGCACGCCGCTGGCGCAGGGGAGCACAGCTGACCAATTCCTGGGGCATCGACTTCATGTTCTCCAGCTTGAGCGCCTACCTGGAAGATGCTCACCTCATCGGGCACGCTTCTTTGACCCGACGGACACGCATGAACAACGCCATTAGCGACGCCATGACGGCCTTGGCGACCCAGAACGCGGACGACATCGAGACTGCCCGTCGTAGCCTGACATTTGAGTCACCATGAGTGTGACCGACCGTGACTTGGAAGGGTATGAAAATGGTGACAGGTCACGTCAGCGTTAGGACCTCAGTCTGAGACGACCCGGACTTGCGAGGACAGTGCACAAAGCTTAGCTTCGGTGTCTTGGTTTCGGCCGCACGTTCGATCGCCGGATGAACCTCGCTTCGATCCTTGTTTTGTGAATTGCACCCTTTGTGCATCGCCGATAGCCGTAACAATGGCCCTAGCTGATAGTTGGCTGACGCTCAAAGATGCCTGCGAGATAGCAGACATCTCCCGGATCCTTCCGACCCTTGTGGAACGGGGATGGACCACCCCATCGATGGTTGCGGCCAACCAGAACCAGTGGGACTCCCTCGACCTCAGCGAGGCAGAACAGGCCATGTGGCGCATCCCGCTGGCACGATGGCTCTCACCGATCGCGACAGATCGAACCATTGAGACGAGGCAGGATTTGCCTCGCAGCCAACCCTCCGCCGGAGGAAGCCTCAAGCGGGCCCTTGCGGCCGCCCAGGCGAATCATGCTGACCAGACCCTGAAGGTCTTCAGAGAGGATGTATGGGCTCGAAGCACCTCCCACCCGCACAACAGTCGGGTGAAGACATGGGAGACCATTGCCAGGGCACGCGAGGGGGGGCATCACTCAAGGCAGGCGGTTACAAATCCGCCAAACTCTACTTCAGCGCCGCTCGGCGCGAGCGCGTCACCCGACATGGTGACATTCCCATCGAGGTCGAACTGAGCATGAAAGACGCCATCCGCAGCATCGAACGGGGCCTGATGCGCGAGATCGAACTCGCGAACGCTCGGGCGAACCACGTTCGATTCGAACATCCATCTTCGGCCCATCCGACTGTGCACTGGAGTTTGCCCACGTCCAAGACGGACACCAAAGGCGAGATGATCGAGCGATCGCATGCTTGCTCCTGCTCGGCCGGACCCGAACCCTTTGCATTGTTCATGCATTGCTTAGGCGGCTGGCCAAGATCGACCGGATGACGGATCGAACCCCTCTGGACTCGGACGAAGGCGGACACCATCAAGGCCATCCGCCGCATCATCCACCTGACTGGAACGGAGACC